ATATGGTCAACAACTCGGAGTCCTTGCTGGACAGTGGAATGTTGGGAACGAAATCCGAATTGATGAGTAGGAAGGTTATAGGATTCAATTATAGGTAGGATTCGTTTCAGTAGGATCTTTTCAAAAATTTTTGAGAGGATTGGGAGTAGGCTAATTGGTCTATAGGATGCTGTATTGTTGGAAGGTTTGCCTGGTTTCAAGAAGAGGACGATGGTGGAATGTTTCCATAAAAGAGGGAAGTGGGTAGTTCGTAGGATGCAATTGTATATATATGTAAGAAATATGATGGCTTTAGATGGAAGTTGTCGAAGGATCTGTGGGGTTAGAAGGTCATATCCAGGAGATTTGCGAGGTGTGATTTTCCGTAAAAGGTATTTGACCTCAGAGGGATTAACAGCTTTAGGTGGTAAGGAGAGTGGGATAGGTATTGAGAGGGATTCTTCTACTTTTACTGTGTGGCTGGGATGGGATTATGGATGAGGAGCGAAAGTATAGGAAAGGTGTTTGGCAAATTCCTCGGCTTTATCTTCATCAGATGCTGCCCAGGAGCCATCATCTCGTCGAAGAGGGTGGGAAATATGATGGGATTTGAGGATTTTTCTGGTGATATTCCAAAGGGAATTATCATGAGCAGAGAGTGTGGTGAGGTAGGAATTGAATGATTGGGATCTGAAGGTGGCTAATTCTTTTTTTAATTTTTTACAGTGATAATTGTAGGAGTGGCGGTCGGCTGGATGTCTGGTACGTTGCCATAATAATCTGGCACGGCGTTTTATGTGGATTAGGTCAAGGAGGTGTTGAGGTAAATTATGTTTCTTAAGGATTTTTGAGGAGTGATCAGGGGAGGAAGCAGTCCAGACTGCTTCTTGAATTTTGGTAGTGAAGGAATGTACTGCATTGTCCAGGTCTTCAGAGGTTTTCAGGGTTACTCTGAGGTCAATTTTATCGGAGAGGATTTGATGAAAGAGTTTCCAGTTAACTGGGCCTCTGATGAAGGACGGAGGAGAGGGTTTAGGAATAGGAGCTAGTGATACTTGGAGTATTAATGGGCTGTGGTCTGAGGAAAGCTCGTCAAGACGGGCAACGGAATGGTTGAGAGCACCTAAACCATTATGGATAAAGAAATCGAGGATATCGGGATTACGGTTAGGATCAGTGGGCCAGTAGGTAGGTGAGTTGGGTGGAAGAAGGGTAAAATTTTGGGAATTGAGTACAGACAGCAATGTTCGACCACGAGAATTCGTGGTTCTTGAACCCCATTGTTGATGCTTGGCGTTTAAGTCTGCACCCAAGATGAAATGATGTCCTAAGGAAATGAGGAAGGAACTAAATTGGATATTGGAGATGGATTGGTTTGGAGGGCAATACGCTGATGCAACGGTAATAGGAAAGGAGAAGGTTTTGATTACGACTGCGGTGGATTGTAGGAAATCGTGTGTAGGCAGTGGGAGTAGGTGATGGGAGAGGGATTGGTGCACAATGACTGCAGTACCGGCATGTGCTCTACCGTCAGGATGGTCGGTACGGTAAGTTATGTATTGTGGTATTTTTAGGAGCTGTTTTTTAGTCAGTCGAGTTTCCGTTATTAGGGCTACGTCTACGTTCTTGTCTTGTAGTAAGGCTGTTAGTTCGTGTATGTGATTTCTAACACCATTCGCATTCCAAAGGAGAATGGATATGGGTTTGATGGAAGTCATTTAAGGATTTTTTAAAGGAGGGATAAGGTGAGATACTAGGTTAGTGAGAAGTGATATCAGTGGGGTAACAAGGGATTTAAATTCTGAAAGAAAGGATGTCAATAAGCTGGTTAGATCTGTAGCATTAGGCGGTGGAGGAACATATTGGATTTGATGTTGGTGAGGTTGTTGTTGATTAGGTACATTAGGTGGGATAGGATATTGAGATTGGGGTTGAGTTTGTTCTTGCGGCAGGGCCTCACATACATTAGTCGGGTCTCTACCCCCAAGTAGCTTGGCAAAAGAAACCTTAGAGTTCACAATTTTAGCGGGTCCTCTTCTTGGTTTAGGTGTATCATCAGGGTCCCTGGGTTTCATATATCTCGCTTTAAGATTTTTATAAATTTGGCAGCCTTTGTAGTTGGCTGGATGGCCTTCCAGGCATAGGGCACAGACTGCTGGTTCTGTAATTGGTTTATTACACTCGCCAGACTTGTGTGTTTTACCACATTTCACGCAGCGTGGTAAGTGGTGGCAATAAGACTTGGTGTGGCCATATGCTTGGCAATTATGGCACTGGATGAACTCTCTTTTTGGGTACGGTTTTTCGACCTTTACGCTGGTGTAGAAAATTCTATTCACATCGTATATTTTTTCGATCCCAGGCGATGGCTCTAGATCGACGAAAAATAAGGGCAATGGGATTTTATTCTTTACACCTGGTTGTTCTTTATTTTCTTTTAAAACATTGGTTATCTGACGTATTTTGAACCCTAACGCCGTTAACTCTTCTTTAATCACTTCTATTGGGGTTGAGGAGTGTAAATTTCTTATTACAACTCGTAGTGCTCTTTCCTGTTTCAACTGGTATGTGTGAAAGTCCGCATTTGTGTCTGTTAAATATTTTACGATTTTTCGGTACGCTTCAGGTGTGGCCGGTATTATTTTTGTATCATTTATTCTGTTTAGGCATGTATAGCTACCTGGGCAGATTTTATTAAGTTGAGTACACAACAACTGGAAATTTCTCAAATTTTTGACAAAGATAGGAGGTGGGCGTGGTTCTCGAGGTATAGGTGCATCTTCCATTTCTTCCCTGTCATTTTCAAGCACCTGGTATGGATTAGGTGTAAAAAATGGAGATTCCATTTCTTGTGAAGACGTACTTGGCAGTGGTTGAGACACAGATACTTGAGTGTTCGCTGGAGGAGTTCCGGGGGGTGTTAATCGCTTACTACGACGTGTTTTCTGTTTAGGCGGTGAATTACGTGGGGTAGAGCCAACTGAATGGGACCTCTTAGTTGACATTACTTGGTGGTAATATCGCATATAAAAAAAAAAAAGAAAGAGAAAAAAAAATAAATAAATAAAACTACGGCTGCGTGTTATTACAATGGATGAACCACCGGCTCAGAACCAGCCAGTTACGTGGCAGGGCCAAAACTGGAGAGGGGAGCCGTCAGCTGTTATGGCTATAGAGATTAAGCCTATAGACGCTAAATCACTAAATTCACTGTCTGTAATAGTACACAGTAAATAACAACACTACTCACTGTGGTGTTAGTCCATTGTTGTTGTTTTGATGTCTGCTAACTAGTTTTTTTTTTAAAAAAAGTAAAACTGAGCACTTATTCTACTAAAAAATAGTAAAACTGTGGGACACGACGTGAATGTGGGTATTCAAATCAAGCGCATGCGCAGAACTGTATCCTATTTTATATATTTATAAAATTGTTGTTGTTTTTTTTCACAAAAGCTGATTTAATCAAGCTATTATAGATATTTTTACTTGAAATTGAATCATGTATAATTATTATACAGGAAAAGGAATTATTTTCAATATAATGACGAGAAGGATAGTTGGGATGATCAGTCAAAAATAAAAATGGGAAAAATATATAATAACATTTATTTTAATTATATAAATATTATTTAGCACATAAATTATTTACTAAATAAAAATTATTTACTAAATAAATATTATTTATTTAGTAAATGTGAGAGCAATTTTTTCCTTAAAATTAGCTAAGCGGGAGTGAAACTTTATATCAACTGATATACACATTTTTATGATTTTGATTAAACTCGGTGTATCATTGTATAATTAAGTGGTCTTTAATACCATTTAGGTTTTATACCTATTTATGTCACTTTACATGGGTTAAATGCCCAATCAACATGTCTTTCTCTAAAGTACCTTTAATTTGGTTCATTTTAAATAATTAACTATTTCTCATCGTTAGGGGTTATGACAAAAAGCTAAATATAACTTTTGAAAGAATTTGATAATTAAATCAAGGAGAAAAAAAGAAAAATGCTTATCCAGATCAAAAATGAACCTCCGAAAATACTTATAATATATACATATAATACATCTTTGGACAGTGGAGAATTTTAGAATAAATAATCCATAATCAACGGATCGTACAATTTATAAACATCCGTTGATATAATATATAGGATTTTTTTTATTTTAATATTTGGCTGTCTTAACCATTCTTCTCCACCTCTACTTTTCTCGGGTTATTTTTTTCGAGTTTTCCGCATATTTATTAATTTGATATATCCACTGGTTTTTGGCTTCTACGTGATCTCTTGCTTACTACGGTCATTGATTGTTTTGTGTTTAGGCTTCCTTTTAGATAGCTCCGAGCTTCATACCCCAATCATCTTAACATCCTTGCTTTCATACCATGAGTTATTGATTGACCAATTTCTGGAAGAAGTTCTTTATTGGTCTTTGTTATGCATGCAGTTAGTACTCAGATCCCAGATCGCTACGGTTATTGCGCGGAGGACATTTCTCTCAAATTTTTAATATTTATTTAGATGGTGCTCGATTATGTCCAGATTTTGCTTCCGTATACTATAACTGACTTTATAATAACATTACTGAAGATTTTTTGGGATTTATATACTTTTGAAAAATAGTAAAAAGCTCCGTTTGCATTTGTTATATGCTGGTCCATTTCCGACTTTTGATCATTCGTTGCGGTTATTGTGGAACTGACATATTTGAATCTGTTTATTCACGGGTACGATTTCCTTTCTATGCTGTATTTTATATAAGGAAAGTAGTATAAGTGTGTTTGAAGAACAAAGCCACTAATGGGTCTTGAAGGAAACAAACTATCCTTAAGAGGTCTTAAATTGTACAAGATAAATCACACTCCCATTGCACGGAGTAAGGAAACTGTGGATTACTAATGGGCACAGAATAATATTAAGATTAGAAAATGAGAGAGATTTGTAAGCCGGCAATAAGTGCACTATATCAAAGTATTTCGAAAGGGTTTGGCAAGCGAGGCTCCAGGGGTCAAGGCAATGACACAGAGAGCGGAGACAGAACAGGTTTGCGGTCTCCTAATGGCTCCAGCTAATGCACTGGATCCACTTAGCGCAATCTTTTATCTCCAAGGTGCAGGTTGTCACTGGACAGCGGTACTGTTCTTCAGGACTGGAGTCTTACATTGAACTAAGTCCTCAAGAAGACGAACCATAACATAGTTCATCTCACAAAATTTAAAAAAAAAATCGCTATTCTGATATTTCAGGGAAATATGAAATGTGCTTTGACTCCAAGAAACAAACAAAAAAAAACTTTCATACTTGGGTAAATTTAATCTGAAGAACGAATAAACAATAATGAATGAAAACAAATATTTTTATTTCAATATTTAAAAAAAAAGAAATATTTATTAGGAGATGCATTTTTGTTGAGTGTTAATTGATTCAGTTCTTAATTCAACGCTAGATAAAAACGATATCCTTGATGATAACTTACATGTTTGAGTCGAAACGTCAGCAACCATTAAAACTAATTTAGAATGAGAATCCTGACTATTTCCTATCCTAGAGTTATTTGTTAAAATATTAACAGATAAATATTGCTTTCTTCATCATCAAATAAGAGATATTTATATAATAGAAATTAGTTAAATAGCAAACATTGACATTATAAAAAAATAAATCAATAAAAAGTATTAATTGAAAACAAATTTATTCAACACTTAATCATTAAATAAATATATACAATTTTGTTTGTGGTTTAAAAGTGTTAGTATATTTTTTAATAATACTATCAATTTCTGGAATGCGGAAATGTGTATATTAATTTTTTTATTTTTTTTTTATTTCTCCCTCGTCGTCATGAATCTTTTGGTTCATTATGATATCCCGAGCTATTATTTAATGAAAATACTAATGATTTGAGATATCGCACTTGAGAATAGATATATTTCAATTTACCAGATTTCTAAAATATCGAGGTACATTATTGGAGGGCATTTTATAGAAATAATAACGATTTAAGTATCACAAATAAATTATATTTACCCTTCGTCCTAAGCCTATGACTGCCTGTCCTTCAGTATCCTTTAACAATACTCCAGCTATCTCTGTTGAACGAATCCACTACCACTTGGACAAACGTCTAGCTTGGATTATTCCTGACCAGATTGAAACGACAAGAAACCATTCGACTACTTCAGCACTTACTAGACAAACACTCTAACCTTCCAATTAATTACAAAAGACTCATATACATGACTATAATAAGGCCTATTTAGGCTTACGGAGTTGAGCTATGGGGCTCCACTAAACTATCGAATTCCTCTCGTATCCAATCGCTATAATCCAAAATCCTCCGTAAAATCCTCTATGCTGCTTACTTTGTTACAAATAAAATCATCCACAATGACCTTAAGGTTCGTTATGTTTCAGATTTGGCGCAATCCAGAAACCCATCCTTCCATAATAAACTTCAGAACCATCCCAACCCTCTCGTTTCTAACCTTGCTTCCTCTTCAAATCCTAATAACCCTCCGAGGCGAAAAGAAGATAGTTCCGTGATATCCTAATGTAGACAGATTATTAATAGTGGTTAGTTTCTCAACAAATCTTTTCATGTCATTATATTCATTTGTACTAATTTACTAGACTATTTCTTTAATACAGTTGTAAATATCATAATATTATTATAAAAAATGATATCAGGATCCCATGTTCAAATATCGATTTATCGTAACTTGAATTTTGTCGATATTTTGGTTAGTATTATCGGAGGCCTCGATATAAAAATAATGCCACTCTTATTTATTTTATCTTATTTTTAAAGTCAGTAATAATTAAAATATATAATAAATTATTCCAATAAAAAGAAAATTGAATTTAATATTCCCAACATTTTTCCAAGTACGCTCAATATAGCTTTCTTAACATTTATATTAGAGACATAATTATTTATATTCCAAGAACATTAATTTTGTTGTTTGATAATAAAATATACAGCCGACGCATATTTTGAAAGCGCCTGCGCAAACGATTGTATTGAATAAATTTAGTAAAATTCATACGGAACCATTTTCCATTATCTCCCAACTTTTGTTCGAAAGGAAAATATAGTTGTTGAAATGAAAATATGTTTATGCTTGAGTAGCCAAAAGTAGTTGATGGAAATTGAGAGTGTTGATATAGGTTGATCTAATAGGGATGGCAATAGATACTCGATATTATCGAAATATTTTTCCATCGATGGTAACAACTTCGATATTATCAACTATCGATATCGTCCTTTCGATATTTTAATTTTAAAATCATAATTATAACTACTGGTTTTGGAAAGTGCTAGGAATTACATATGATTCTGATCATTATAAAAAAAAATACTCTTCTTGCCTGTTTCATTTAAAATGTAGTAGAGGAAAATATCGATAATTTGATAATATCGATTATCGATGGCTATCCTTAACTGGTTGGCGCACGAGTTGATTAGAGCAGAAGGGACCCTTCTCACATAGTATACTCACTTTAGTTAGAACCTTCTCAAACCAAGGCTACGAATAGTCAAAGAAATCTATATAGGATACAAATAAATTAGTATTTCGCTGAATTCGACCTATGGGTGAATGGAAGGCATAATTGGTTGAATGGAAATTTCTGGTAAAAAAAGCTGACGATGACGAAGGTGGACAGGAAGTAGAAAATTAATTTTACTAAGGGGGGTAGAAGAATTGATATTTCCATTAATCAATTTAAAGAGAAAAATAATATATTTTTTGATGCGCCTACGTTCTTCGGAATCAGTATTTATATTTCAAAATTGTTTATAATATCGATGAAAATATCGACAGGTAATGAACTTAGCCACACAAAGAACTTAAAAAACTTTATTGGTAAACAGTTTACCTACTACCTACAGTTACACTATTAACTAGATAATGATAATTCTAATGATTGCTAATGACTGACTGCTGCCTCTAACAGAGGAGTATATATACAGGAATGTAGGAGAGGATAATGCTGAGTCAGGTATGTAGGGAAATGCACCATAACTGACTGCCGATATTTCAAGCCCGATATTTTGATAGTGTGGATAGTTATAGGCTGATATTAAGATATATATTGGGTCTTCGATATCCCGCTCTCCCTTAGGTTGATCTAGGTACTAACTTGCACAATCCCTGAACATTTCGTGAGGACTAAGTAAGTAGTCGGCGTTGTGTCCTATACAGTGAAGTATAAAATGAAAAACGCGTGGAGAAACTTTCAAGTCCGAGTACAAATGTTTCTTTTGTTCATATTTCTACTTGAATATTGTAATGGAATCTCTTACTGATACAACCGACCGTGAACAATATACCACAAGCTGACAAGAAGTCAATGATCCGTTTATGAAAAGGACGAAGGAGGCGGATAGCATTCCTTTAGGACAGGCTGCGGCTTGCGGTCTTCAGCAGAGCTACTCCGTGTAGGAAATGCCAATGGCGACGGTTGGTTTTAACAGGTTTTTTTTCAATATATTTTTTCTAATGTTCTGTCCACTTTTTAACCCTTTTATTGTTAAAAGTATTGTAAGGTGTATTTTAAAAGTTACCGTGGTAGATTGTTCCGAGTGAAATAAATCCAAAACGAAAATAGATAAAGTGTAACTTATACCGTATACATCCTGTGATTAATTATAATACTAATCATAATTTAAACTATTAGTCCGTGGTACAGACCCTTTTTTATTGAATTATTAATATCCGCCTTAAACAATATTTTAAGCGTATTCAGTCAAATAATTCCGATAATTTTAACAAAAGATATAATTTTTAAGTTACGATTTTTAAACAACCTGAAATATTATTTAGAAAATTATGTATTAACAAAATTTATGCTAGCTAATAATTTGTACGCATATTCTTGTTTATAAATCTGAAAGACTTTTGGAGCTACCTTAAACGAATGTTTTTGTTTGAAATTTAGTATACAGGAAAACTAAAAGGTTAAAACTTAACTGAGGTATTGGGAAACATAGATGTTAAAAAAAAATTTTGAATATATACTCAATTATTTAAACACTAATAATCAACAATATCTCAAGGGTATTCAGTCAAATAAGTCCGATAATTTTAACAAAATCATGACACAAAAGATGTAATTTTAAAAAGATTATTTTTTGTATAATAGAAATCACTAATAATTGTATAATAGTAGTGACATCTTTAAGTTGTATTTTCAGGTTATGAATTATCTCACTTTGTAATTAACAGCTGATGTAGCTAATCAGTATTTATAATTAGGAGCGTATAACATATAGTCCGTGGTACAGGACCCTGTTTATCGAATTATTAACATCCGCCTGAAACTTCGTAAATAGTTTCATCTAATCGTAATCTAAAGCTGTAACTCAAAGCAACAGGGTTTGATTTCTCATTTCTTATTTCCCACCTTTGCAGATAATGCCGCTTTAAAGTCGGTACAACAATGAATTTCAGTAAAAGAAGTTCCAAAATATCGTTCATCGAGAATGAAGGAGGCACAACATTATGTCTCTAAGCTCATATATTTTAATTTAAATTTTAATAATAACTGTTTCCATCCCAAAAAAAGCAACCAGTCTATATCTGGAAAAAAATAACAACTAATAAACACAAAAGGTGAGCAACTTATGTCTATGGATGGTTCCGGGATATATTTAATCCATCTCTCTTTATCTTAAGGTATTGCTGTCCAGTTTTCTTCATGCAGCTCTGTAGCATCTTAGTCGATTCGATCCATCCACTTTTTTTGGATTTTTGGCCTTCTACGTGTAATATTGCCTATAATTGAGGATTTCATTGGTATGTAAAGACTGTATAGTACTGAAATAATTATTAATACAAAGATTTCTTTATTTGGCTCGAACTCTGAATAATAAGCCTAAGTTTAAAGGTAAAATTTATGAAAAATGAAATCCTAATTTATTTTATGTGCATTGACGTAAAATAGCTCAACTCTTATTAGCGGAATCCTGTGTTTAATGGAAAAATGATTTTCTCTATAATCAATTCTGTGAAATTTCAAAGTACCTTGCTACGAGCAAATTAATAATAATCCGTCGCATGCACGATCAAAGGCGAGATTTAAAAGTTAAATTATATTTTTAATTAAGGTTGCTGCATATTGAATATTCCTTCGTACTTTGAAAGTTGTTGTTG